CCTGCCGCTACGGCCCCTTCGGCGCCCCGCCGCCCCCCAGCCAGGCGCCGTCGGGCCAGGCCAGGATGTTCCCCAGTGGCCCCTACCTGCCCAACTGCCTGGAGAGCCAGCAGGCCATCCGCAACCAGGGTAAGCCGCGCCGCCGCCGGCCCCGCTGCCCTGCCTCCCCGCGCCGGGCGTGCACGCCCCCTGCCCGGGCCCGGGGGGCTATTAACACGCTTGCCTTCGCACGAAACGGGAGCCACGGGCAACGCACAAAGCCTTGGCTGGGGGAGGCAGCCGGGGACGGTCCTGCTTGGAGCGGGGCTCGGACGAGGTGGCCTCCCGAGCTCCCTTCCAGCCGGGTTGCTGGGATTCTGCCATCCCATCTAATCGCTTCCTTCCAGCTCCTGCTGCGATTAAAACTTCTGCAGCTGTAACTGGGAGCGGCGGTGGCTGGGGGGAGGCGGTAAAAAAACGCCCCTCCAGCAAGCTACAATAACTCAGGTTCAGTTCCCATCCCGTTTGGCACCGAGACGGCTGTATTTTTATATACGTTTTTTATTTTGCGAATCTCTCTCTCGCTTGTTTGGTTTCTTTTCTGTTCTTTCTTTTTTTTGGGGGGGGGGGTTATCCAAAATAGTAGGATTTTGCTGGCTAGTAGCTGCTTAAATTAGATTAGTAGCTGGTTAGATTAGATTAGGATGCATTAGATTAGTAGTTGTTAGATTATATTAATAGTTGGTTAGATTAGATTCGAATAGATTAGATGTGTAGTTGGCTAAATTGTATTAGTTGGTTAGTTTATGTTAGATTAGTAGTTGATTAGATTAGATTTGATTCGATTCGATTCGATTAGTAGTTGGCAGATTAGATACTTCTTTAAAAACATAGCAGCACTCGCAGGAAACCTGGTATGGGAAACCCAGAGCCGCAGTCCTGTTTGAGGGCATCGCTTCCTCAATGGCACAACAAATTCAATATGCATTTACGAATAATAAGACATTTCGGATAATCAGAGAGGAAAGGATGAATTTAATTATTCCCGCTCCTTTTTTTTAAGGATAGGGCTCGTGAACAGTGCGGGGGCCCGACCTGCCTTCCAGCGGATCGGACACTGGAAGTGCATTTTCCAACATCCGCGTTAAGGCTGAGTTTGTCCTCCGGGATGAGTCGGGTCTTGGCAAGGCTGGAGCCCGTGTGCCTTCCTCGTTGCCCGCGGGGAACCTCATTCGTAGGCCGCCCCCCTGGCAAGGACACTGGCCTTGCAGGAGCAATAGCATCCCTTTCGAAACTAGAAGCGTGGGTTGGGGGGAAAGGGCTGCATCGAAAAAGAAACTCCCCCAGCATCCGCATTTCATACCTAGCAGTTTATTAGAAATGCAGCCCTGGACACTGAAAAGGTAACAGCCGTGGTTTTGGATCTGTTTGGTTGTTTAAAAAAAAGGAAGTAAACGGCTGGTTAGTGAAAGCCATCATTGGATTAATTATTGGAAGCTTGTGTGGGGGGAAGGAAGGTACGGACTCATTGATTTGACACTTAGACTTGTGCGAGAGGTGGAGGGGAGTCACCCTCTTTATACCGAACGGTAGCTGAAAATCAGGATCTCTTCTACTTTTAGTTGAGCTGATAGGAAGCCAAGGGCTTTCCGTGATTGCAAACCTTCCCATTTCCAAATACCTGCCCTAGTTTTGTTGTGCTAGGTTGTGTTTTTTTTTTTTTTAAACAGTCGTTGCCCTCGGGCTGATGC